ATGTATAACCTATTATATATATATATATATATATATATATATATATATATATATATATATATATATATATATATAACCATTAATATATGTATAATCTATTATATATATCTCCTAGTATGTGTATATTATCAATTATATATATTTACTAATTTAGCTCTGTTTTAAAGATGTTTCGTGGTGAGAATATTTGATGAAGCTCATATTTTTTTATAAAAGATACACATCTTCATTTTAGTAATTATAACAACATTAATTTATTTTTTTAACATTAGTATATTTCTTTTCATCTCTTGAACCAAGCTACAATGTTTTGTATGGTAATTTTTTTTCTAAATGACTACGTTATATAGTCCATATTTTTTTTTCTTTCACTTTCCTATTTATGGAAATACCTATTTCTACTCATGCTAAGAGTGTTAAATGAAAGCTGTGTATTCTAGCACCGCAGCAAATCTCATATTACCCAAATTTAGTTTAGTAATAATATCCACTTTGTTCTGTTTTTCTTTTTCACCTTTCTATATATCTTTTAATTAAAGCAAATTAATATTTTGCAACCTTGTATTTATTATTTTTTTTCCACTGTACATATACAACTATTAGTTTTTAATTTATTTTTTACAATAGAGGCAAAATAGAAATGCCATGTGGCTCGTGCTACGATAGTTTGAATAGATATGATTAGTATGAAACAATATAATAATGTGATTTGGATAAATACAAATCTACCAACTCCGTAATTTAGTTTTCATTCTTGATAAAGAAAAGAAAAAATAATGATTAAAATTGGCCTTAAAATATTGTTAAAATGCTTAGACATGAAGAAATAACTATTTTGAAAAAAAACAGCATTGTTTTCATAATTAATTTTTTTTTACCTAGATCTTGTTTTTCCCTTCGTGTTGTAGAGGTGTCTAAACCAGACTTAATATTTTTGGTTAATCACATGGGTAATTATTTAGATTAGGACCACACAGGTTATGGGTGGTTCATGAAATGCCAAATCAGTCTTTCGGATAAATCCGGATGCGTTCTGCATTATTGTTTGGTCATTATTTTGCTTTGCTTTATTTTATTTATTCTTATTCTCTGCAATTTATATTATTCAATAATAGTTTTAAGTTTTAAAAACAAATATATATATATGGTCTCTGGTCATAACTAGTTAAACACGAGTTATGTAAATTGAGATCATCTTCCTAGCCTTCAATGGAGCGAGGTAGGTCAGTTGGTGAGCACTGACTTCCAGAGCTCAAAGTCATAGATTCGAATCCGGCTGACGACTAGTAATTTTTCATTAACCGTGGATCAACCCTGGGGTCGGGAAACCCTCCTGTGGCACAATTAGCCTCTATAAAGTGGGTACAATTATTTAAATAATTAATTAAGGGGGAGAGGAACCTGACAGTTGAGCGTGATATCGGCCCAATCACTTCCCCTGCACAACCGTTCGGTCATTTGGAATTGTATTCCGAGGCACTACAAACGTTCCCATTGATCGTGTAAAGTATTGATTGAGTACTGATAGGCGTTTCTGGCGGATTTCCGAAAATCCGGAAATCAAATGTTCATGAGAAGAAGAAGGGAGACTGAAGTAAAAGTGGTGGGGAGACTAACCATACTACTAGATAGGTTAATTTACCTTGGCCTCACAACTATTAATTCCTAATTTTCATTAAAAGTAATTGGTTAAATAGTTTTTCATATCCCTTTTTTCATTTTATAACCATCTTTAACTATTTTTTTAAATAGTCAATTAGGCAATAAATTAAAAAAAAAAAAGTGGAAACTTATTAAATAACTTATTAAAACAATTTATTTATAGAAAAAAAACTATCTTGTTTTGTATATTTGTCAGTTCTTTTTCTTTTTTCTTAACAAATTGATTATTTTTGCAATACTTTTCCTAATATTTTGTAAATAGTTGACTTATATTTTTCTAACTTTTGTCAAAACTATTTTCAGGCACTAGGAAGTAATTATTATATCTCCATTTTTCTGTTGATGCCCAATATTATAAAGGATAATGTCCATATAAGCTTTTTAAATTAAACACATTACTATAAGCGGACAATGTCCCAGATCCATGCTGTCTGTCATCTCTATGTCAACTGAGCTAAAATAGCGTCAGTAATGATTGAACCTTTATTATGTTTTTGCTTCCTCACTTCCAAAGGTAGGGAAGCTTTGTATTCTGCAAGAGTACTGTGCAAGAGGTTAGAAAAAAATAAGTGCTCAGAATCGAAAATTTTCACTCATGTTTTACGTTTCAGGCATCAAGGATTAAATTTGGTTCGGTGTCTGTCTGTCTGTAGTCAAATCGATGTGACGGGCATATCATCTACTACCGTTTATCCCATCTTCATGAAATTTCCAGAGATTATGCAAGTTGGCGTCTAGATGGCCCCATATCAATTTTATTTAAAACCATCTAGCATTTTATCTTAATTCCGCTTACGCTCGCGTAAAAGTGTTTTCTTGACTATGCCAATATCTCAGAAACGGCTCATTTAATTTGGCTCATGGTTGGAAACATGCAGGTATTAATAAAAAAAAAATAATTTAGTATCCATTTGATTCAATTCCGTCCTCTAATTTCTCTTATATATGCCCAAATGCATTTTCTTAGATACCTCTATAACTCAAAAATTTGGAGTTAAGTTGAATTGAACAGATAATCAAGAATGTATCAATTTCATCAAATTCTATCCAATATTTCCGAAAAAATACTTTCGTTTTCAGATCAGAAAATGTATTTTTGACTCGCCTATAGTTTGAAAACGGTTCGTTCGATTTGACCCAAATTTGGAGGAAATTTTGAGAATCGTATAGAAATTACCTAATATTTATTTCATTTAATAATTAAAATTAATATAAATAATTGTTAACAATATAATGGCTGTGAAATATAAAAGGCATTGATCATATGGAGTGGGAGTTAGGTTAATACTATATTTTATGAGATTATAAAATTTTAGTTAATTTATACTGTGTGGTTAGGTCGATTTCAAATGTTACTGTCATGACATTTATTACCGTTACTTAGATTTCGTGTAATTTTCCATTAATTTAAATTAATAATTACTCTGAATTCGTAAAGAATAAAGCATTACTTGTGATTGTGTTTATTTGTATTAAAGTTCACTTAGCTCGTCATGGTCCGAATAACTCCGAAGAACCAAAATTTTATTTTTTCCTGTAAGGATTTTTTGTTCTATCCATTTTACGAGTGAAAACATACCTGTTGAACTGTGAAAAAATATATCACTACTGTTAGTGCAAAAGGTCATATGTAAAAGTTTTAAATTTTTATCTCTTTTTTTGACATTATGTAGTCTGCAATTGATATAAGTAGTCTATTACTATGAAAAAAATAGTAGAGGGTAGTAAAATATAAAATTATACTAATAAATCATTAAAAAATAATTAGTTTTTGCTCTCCTGTAAAACACTTTTTTTTAAAAAACTACAAATCATCAAATATGCAATCTGCAAATGAGGAACTCTTTTTTATATTAGTATTTGCTGATACAAAGCTCGTGAAGATCAAGCCCGTTAAAGGATTATTGAATTTCCGAGAAAAAAAAAATTTCAGAGTTTTTATTCTCATACAAAAAATTTTAGACCTTGTTATATAGATACTTTTTAGCAAATGAAAACGGTGAGTAAGCTATACTGACTTTATTTGGCAGTCTTTTTTATCGAAGAATAAGCTCGGAATTCACAAAAACATTCTTAAAAGTTTAACTCAATCAAAAATGAACCTAGTTACTTTTTACTATAAGCCGACGACATATATAATTATTTTATGTAATTCTATATATTATTTCTAAGGTGTGTTTTTTGTCGGTACGCCATAACTTCGTCAATTCTTCATCAAATCCAATGATTAACCACTCATTTTGAAGATATTCTTCTCTTTCAAATGCGAAAAATAGCCCCATTCTCCTGAAATTTCTGGGGCAAAAGTTATGAAGGAAAAGAAACTTTATTTGCGAATTACTCAAAAAGTATGCATTTTTTTCTGGTTTGTACCCATGATAATTAGAAAGATTACTATACTACCTACAAAACAAAAAAAAAAAAAATGTAAAAATCGATTAGAAGTATGTAAAATTTAATCAATTTGTTTTTACGGAAGGAGTAAAGTGTGTTGAAATATTTTTTTAAGGAGAAACAGAGTTGAGATTAGTATTTCGCAGCTCGAAAGACCCTCGAATACGAATTTTCATTTCGATTGGAGCATAAAATTTTTTTTTCTATAAATTTAAACTAAGTTCGTCAATTCTTCATCAAATCCAATGATTGACCACTCATTTTGTGGATATTCTTCTCCTTCACATGCGAAAAATAGTCCCACCCCCCCGAAAATTCTGGAAATAAAGTTATGGAGAAAAAGAAACGTTTTCATAAAGTAAACGTAAAAATCGGTCAATTATTAAAAAAGATACAATCCATTAGTTTTGGTTTACTTAATAATGTCATCCTGTTTAAAGATATTGCATTTACGAGTAGAATAGTCTACTATACTTTTTTTCCTGGTTGATATATTGACTTTATTATTTCTTAAAGACATTTGGTTGTTCTTACATTTTTTTTTTTTTTTATTAATTTAGAAAATCCCATGATCGAGGACTTATTTTCCCGTTATAACTTTTATTATTTTTCCAGTCGGTGCTTAAAAATAGGTCCTAGCAAAGCAATTTGTACAAATATTTTGATCTATTATGTTTAATGGAATATTGTAATCGACCAATGAAAAAATATTAATTCCTTCCTTCATTACGAACTTATTATTTCCATATTGTTTTGCTATTTTTCAGTAAACAAAATTTTCTGCAAATTATTCGTACGGGCCAAGTAGTATATATTATTATTAGCTATTTATTTATTAGTAAAATATATAATAAGACTGGAGACAAAGGAGAAATGCCCCGTGGCACGTGCTACGAGGCCAGCTCGCCGAAGACAGCCGAAGATAGCCGAGCTCCCACGAACTCCCTCCCTTGCAGTTGAACTCCCTCAGTCCGTAGCAAGCCTCCTTGAAGTTATGACATAGTGTGATCTAGATCTGACTTGAAGTGACAGTGCCGTGACAGCCGCAGTGTGACAGTGTCAAGTTAACATGTTACGAAATGCCGAGACATGATTCTCCTACAGATATTCTTCTGCCTCTTCGCCTTTTCATTAGCCCAATCTGAGCAGTGCGACTGGTCTGGAAGGTAATTTAAATGACTTTATTTATATTATTTATTTTATTTTTATTTATTAATTTAGTTATGTTATTAAGCATATTCTCAATAGTTATATATGCCATAATTATATTAGTAAATATTACACGGCAGTAATGTGTGCTTGAAAGCCCTCTCCTCCAACAGGTTGCTACCTGTGTATTTTCTATTTACCTGGACCATTTCTTCACAATTTAGTGACATACAATTTCCCAAAACACCTTATGTTATTATTGTTTAGAATATGTATTTAATCTTAAATTGATTTGTTTAAAAAAATAATTAAAAATAAAAATCATCATTTTGAGATTATATTATTCCGCAACTAGAATTCCTTCATTTCCATAATTTTAAAAAAGATTTTTAGAAATTATTTTTAAAAAACTTCTATTTTAAATTTCTATAGGTTTTGCCTAAAAGTCCATTAAATAAATTATATTTATATATATTCTTCTCTACTCCAACAAACGACATATTAGAATCAAATCAAATCAAATAATTTATTTAATATGGATTAGAACTCTTAGCTAACTCCAATTACTGTTTGTTTCTCATGTAACATAAGTTTTTATCTAAGAACTTCCAAAAATAAAAGTTAAACTTTTGCCGTAAATTTAGAACTTTATTTTACCAATAAGTTCCTTAGAACTTTTACTATTAAAATGTTTGCAGAAACTTTTAAAATAGAACTTTTTAAAAGATTCGATCCCTGGTCTTGACGTTTTATGGCTGTCATTAATAAATATGTAATTATTTAGTTTATATTAAGTTACCTGAATTGATATTTATATTTTGTTCTTATAGTTTATAAACTATGTACATTTATAAATTATAAGAACAAACATTTGTAGTTGTATGCTTCAAACATTTTTGAGGATTAAAAGTTAATGCCTATATCATATATGAAGAATTAAATGCTTTATAATTAAGTGACGTTTTTTGTTTACCATTAAATTTAATTATATCAATACATTTTTCAATATAACACTGGGAATTGCATTCGAGAAATATAATACGGACACCAGTATCAGTTAATTTTTATAGTGCACATTTATAATAGATTCAGGATTTAATTTTGGGGGAAGGTTTTTTTTTATTTGTATTTATTTTTTTTAAATTATAATAATAATTACTGTTATTATAATTTTAAAAAAAGAAACTATATAAAGTATGTTTAAATGTTAATTATATATATATATATATATATATATATATACAATTACATTTATATATAAAATAAAACGTGTAACAGAAACAATAATGCTTTTGAATATAAATGTTATCTTATTTTCTTGACACAGCTTACACTTAGTAGTTGAAGTATATGCGTTGTAATTTAAAAGACTTCAAATTTTGATTGTTTAAATATTTAGCAGAGACCTCTCAAATAAACATACCTATAAGGACCAATGATATGTTTCCATTTTTAGTAGGCTTCGGCTCTGAAGTGAGGCCGTGGTAAGCATATGTAGACTTTATTGAAAACTATGATTACCGTTGATCACTAACGGATCCAGGATTTAATTTGGGAGGGAGTTCAGTCCGAAGATTTTTTTTTATGTATATAATGATAATTACTTAGGGAAAAAAAAGAAAGATCACAACTTCCTATTTAAAACGGTGTTGAAGTGATTCATGAAGTCCTATTAAATGTAATTACACGAACTTTAAGAGATAATTTTTTTATATTTTTTTCCATAAAATATCGTTACATTTTACCATTTTGGGAGGGGGCCTTCAGCTCTTAGATCTGTCTGTGCCGTTGATTATTGATACCCAATCCTTGTTACTATTTATAGTGAAAATACCTTTATTTTATGAAACTTTACAATTTTAATATTTTTTGAAACTGGTCATAATTACATGTTTATCCTGTCTTTAGTTAAAACTGAAAGGAGAAATATCGTTAAACTTTTATTGGAAACTAAAGAAATAAACAAAAACATTTAATGGGATCAACATCGTCAGCATAAGCATCGAAAGAAATTGGTTATGCAATTCCTATGACCGCGCCTGTATATAATGAGACACTTGAAACTAATGTTTTATTTAAAATATTATAGTTTTACATCTCTCTCTCTTTATCTATATATATATATATATATATATATATATATATATATATATATATATATATATAGAGAGAGAGAGAGAGAGAGAGAGAGAGAGAGAGAGAGAGATAGATATAGATAGATAGATAGATAGAAATGTGTAAATCAGAGTTACACAAGATGATGACGTCGAGTACCCGTGCTATCGGTTCGCCACTAACAGTTGTCACGTCGGATCAAGAAGAGACAGATGAACGCTAGGTCCAAGGTGACAGCGGAACATCCCCTTTACACGGCCGCCGATCAGAGGAGCACTCTGTAGGACCTCTGTTGCTCCTCTGTTGCCACTCTGTTATCCCTGGTCAGGTGTGGTCCCTCACCCCAAACCTCCTAGTTCCTGGCGGATCCTTTGGAAATCCTAGGCCGAGCTGGGCTGTCCTAATTGCCTTGGAAGCAGGTCTCTTAATCAGGACCAGATGACCATGCATCTTCCACATGTTCCCTGTCTGCTTCTTAATAAACCTAATTTATTATTATTATATATATCTAGATGTCTTTATATAAAATAACAAATGAGATTCGTTAGCACATTTCATATATATATATATATATATATATATATATATATATATATATTTGTATTTTCTCGAACAAACAAAATATCTATATTTTGGGGACGTTTCTAGAGTTTATTGTAGTGATATTCTTGCACTACTGTGTAAAACAAGAGTTTACTGAGACAATCTTTTTTTTTTTTTATAAAATGCTTTTTAAACATTAAAATTAAGAGTGCAACCAATGGGTAGTTTCTCAACAAGCGTGTTTCATGTGATTATATTTATCTGTACGCATTTACTTGATATATTCATACTAATACAGTTGCAAAATATTTTTTTATGATATAGTATCTCACTACCAGCCACTCCTTTTCATCAAGCCTTTCTCCTTCCAGACGGCTTCTTGCATCTGTGCCTTCCGCTTCATCCTGGAGCCAAAATTTGCTAGATCATCCTTTTTTCTCCTTTGTGTATTGGTTGATACAGTTAATTTTGGCCATTGCTCCTCAGGCATTCTGTATAAATGTCCATACCATTCTAAGATATAAAAGATGGTCGGTCTTTTCTTGTTGAGCGTTTTATCTTATAATTTTGTTGGGAACGTGTTATATTTGGAAATAGCACATCGCCTCCAAAATTCCGCCTCAAACTATAATCACTTTTTCTGTTCCTCTTTGATTATCACCCACGTTTCAGACCCATATTGACTGACATTTTACAAAAATTTTTAGTTTATTTGTTCCACAACACTCACATTGAGATATTATAACTAAATTGAATACAATTTAACGAGAGACTAAATTTTACTATATTTTTAAAAATTATTTAACCACTTGGAAAATGGCATACATAGACAATTTAACCCATGTCGGCTCCAAATTTCATTTTGAAATCCCTCTAAAAAAAGTTATCTATTTCAATAATTGATTACAACAATATAATATTATTCATATAATTAGCATATGTTATAATATTACTTATTGTTAATCTTACAATAATATTTAGCGATAAGATTAGACTAGGTCCAGATGGGACCAGACCACAACCAGTTGGAGTTGCGTGGTTGCCGACACAAAAGGTAGTTTTTTGCTCGGGACTGACTAAAAGAAACACCTCAGCTCGCTCCATCTTGTTATTATATTCTTATTTAGTCAGCCGATTACCTTTCCATAACACTTCCATCTTGTCGAGAGTCAACTTCTAGCAGACGAGTCTGGATTTCTTAGTAAAAATAATTTAGTTGAATTTTCCAAAGCAATCAGTGATGTGCTGATGAAAATTTGGTGAACAACTTGAGTAAAACGATCTGTATTTAAAGGAGTTGAAATCTGAAACAATTCTGAGTTCATGTAGAACCGACAAAATAACAGACAAATTCAGAAAACTTTATTTAAATCAAAAGGTGCCATTTGTATTGTTTAAAATTTAAAAAAAAAAAATGAATAAAAGGAAACTAAGGTGTGTGCTTTATACCACCCGATAGAAGTGAAAACATCAATAAGATTAATAATATGAAATATAAATTATAAATAATATCTCATTATAAAGAGATTTCATCCTGAACATTTCCCTCGCTCATAGTGTGCTGGTCTGATCTTTAGTTTCTGAGATATTTTAATCCATATCTTCCATAAAACTAGTTATCATTTGTTTTTCGATACTTTTTTTTCATTTTCGCCTCTTTAACATCGTGTTAAAATACAATTTTAAAAAATAGCTCAGTACGGAGAAGATGAAATGATGATCAGTTCCCTCGCTAACAATTTTTATTTTTTAGTCGAATTTTTATTTTTTGCGATATTTTGATCCATGTGAAAAAAAAACACTTTGATTATTCGATTGCCTACTTTACCCGAGCGTTACACATCGCAGATCTGACAGCTCAATCTAATTCAACTTCAAAAATTTAAGTAAATATAATTTGTTTCTGAATTTAATTTATAAATTTATTTAGTTTTGTTAGATGTTGTCAAGGCTATGAGGCGTTTACAGATTGTTCTATCGAAAATAATTTCGGAACTGCTTGAAATATCGTGTAATAAAAATATATTTCTTAATGTATAACAGAGGAGCCATTTCTGATATCTACTAATGAATATGTTTTAAGCCGATTTAAATTTCATGTCAAAACTTAAATTTGCATTTATTTCATATGGATGTTTTTCTTTAGGGGTTGTTTGGGTTTCGCATGAGGTTGGTAGAATTAAGTCGAGGAATACAGTCCTGTTTGTAGGGCTATATTGTTAAAAGAAAAACTGAACTCTCACAACTCCAATACTTAACTAATTTGTTGGGGTTTCTTTGAGAGGGGAGTCCTTTTTTTTTTTGAAGGAGGGTTTTGTTTAGGGGTATATATGTACTAATTTTCAAATAAAAGTCTGAC